ATTCAACGAAAGTAATTTTTTGTGGAGGAAAATCAGTTTTTCATCGACTTTTTTGGGAAATTTACTTTCCACAATCTGAAAAATATAAAAATTATAATGAACTTTATACAAGTGTAAAAGGGCAAACTTTTTAGTTTACCCCGATGAATTACTGCGTAAAATCAAAGTATTCATCAGTAACTTGTTGTATTTAACAATTTTGCCTATCAAAAAAATTGCTAAGAAATAAATACAATTCTTATCTTAATGTTTCGGAGGCCAAAGTCTGCCTCCCTCTTCAGAAATGGACAAAAAATTCAAAGATATTAGTCCGGGATCCCTCGCCCTTTTTCGTTATTTATTACTAACAAGCTGATTTTCCGTGACTAGCTTCTTTTTGACGAGACGCCCAGTATTTGCCAGTACAAGCTAACAGGGGTAATAAGAACGTAATTTGTTGATTTGGCGGTTGTCAAAAATTCATTACTAACTGTCTTTTTTTCATATAATTCTGAAAATGATTATCTGAATTACCCAAAAAAATATTTGTCCTACAAAATGCTCGATTTGATCAAAGAGGTTCCCCCTTTGCAACATGTACTATTTACAAAAACATGAAATATAATTACTAACCAGCTGAATTTTATTTGGTCAGTTAGTTGATATTTATCCATGAAGTCTAGAGTTACTCTAACCACATGCGGTCTAGCGTTGTCTTGTTGAAATATGGGGTTACCGATGGTCTCAAGATTTGGAAGGACATGTGGCTCCACTACTTCCTGAATGTAACGAAGAGCTCTCATGTTGCCTCTAATAAAGACTAAAGGTGTCCTGCTACCATATGCAATGGCACCCCATATCATTAAACCAACATATCATTAAAACATCAAACTGGGGAACTAGTCTTTCCCTACGACGCGACGTCTTCTTACTCTTGCTCGTCCATCGTGCATACCCAAACAAAAACGAGATTCATCGCTTAAGACTACGCGGTTCCACTGTTGATCCCAATTTATTCTGTCTCTGCACCAGTGCAATCGGTTGCGTCGATGCTCGAGAGTCAGTGGTAACACCCAATGCGCCGATATACGCATTCCAACAACTCTTCCGTGTTCTTAAAACCATTGATTCGCAATTGCCCTAGTAGAATCAGTCGTAAGGGTAGGGGAGCTGGTCTCCAAACCTGAAAGAAATGAAGATGACATTCTGCCCTAGTAGAAATGAACCAATCCCTAAGAGCCAAAAGTCTTAATCGGCGATCCTCACGCGCTGTTTCCCTGTGACGACCGGTGCCCCTAGCTGTATGTTTCTGGCCTTCTTGGGTACATGCCTGATAACATCTTACAATAGAATTCAAAGATCAATTGGTTCTTCTTGAAATTTCTCTAATTGAAAAACCTGCCTCACGTAAGCCAACAATTCGTCCTCTCTTAAAATCACTAAGTTGAGGAATACGACAAAGTCTTCGCACTCGAGGCATAGTGTTAACAATACGAAACACTTTATAGTATTTCCAATACCAACTGGAACAGCACAGAGAAGGAATTCCTGCCTCGACATAGGCGTCGGCATATTATTTTTCAGTGGTAGTTTTTCAGTTACTTATTTTTACAATCATAGCAATTGATCACCCCACGAAACAGTTTTCTCAACTGAATTTCTCCACCATGGGTAATTTAAGGTAGTTGATTTCCGAGTCTAAAACTCTAAAATACAATGAAAAACTCAAATAATCACACCGAATTATCGCCAAACATATATTTACAAAATAATAGAGGCCAACAAAATTGCTAGAAAAATCAAAATTCTTCTTCGCTATATTCGGATGAGGTGGAATCATCATCGGGTTGAATAACGATCCAATTTATGGAACTTTGCACATAATATTTGTTCTCTTCTTTTATAACGTGGGCCACACAGTTCTTCCACACATCACTATTACCTACTTCATTCACCACTCGCCTTATATTGTCAAGCACCACAGCATTCAAAGTCAGTGACTGATTACATTTCCGCAAGCTTTCTTTCATTGTGGCCCAAACCATTTCAATTGGATTGAACACACAATATTATGGAGGCAAACGTAAGAGAATATGATCACATGTTTAACACATCGAATCAATAATATACTCTTCAACAGTTAAAGCACAAATAAGAATAAAACTTGAAGAAATGGTAAATGCTCACACAAAAAAACAGTTAAAAAACTGGTCAGAATAGCTTCCGATACGGCTGAAATTTTTAACACATCGAATCAATAATATACTCTTCAACAGTTAAAGCACAAATAAGAATAAAACTTGAAGAAATGTTAAATGCTCACACAAAAAAACAGTTAAGAAACTGGTCAGAATAGCTTCGGATACGGCTGAAAATTTACTGGCTTTTTACTGGCCTCAATCCTCTTGAAGATGATCACTTGGTGATCGAAACACGTGTCATCGCCCAGGAATTATTGAATAACGACAATGACGATCCAGATTTGCTTAAAAGGTTTATCATTGGTGACGAATCATGAGTATATATTGCTTTGCTGGCGACAGCACACTTGTCTCGTCATTCCATTGAAAATTGTACACACAAGCTCAGATCAGACCTTCATTGGAGTATTGTTCTCATGTATGGAGCTCTGCATCTAAACATATCCTGAAGCTGCTGGATTCCATCCAGAAAAGAGCCATCCGCGTGATTAGAGACGCGAACATCACATGCAACCTTGATCGCCTGGAACATCGAAGAAAGATCGGAGATTTGTCTCTCTTCTATAGATACTTTCACGGAAGATGTTCAAGTGACTTGGCACCGAGGAGCGGTACATATCAGAAATACGCGACGGGCTGTGGCTGCCCATCGTTTTGAGGTTCAACTCAGTACACTTCACTGTTTAAGATCTCTTTCACCTGGAGAACTGCGTTTATTGGAACAAACTTCCTGAGAAAGTTTTTCCAAATAAATTTAATCTCCAGCAATTCAAATCCAATGTGAATCACTATTTTCGCACAGGCACCGCTCTGATAGCGTGTTAAGGATTTTCCTGTAGTGCTTGTGTTTTGTCCTTGAAAAAATGGGTATGACATCGAACCAAAGTCCAATCCACACTGGCGTAGTGCATCAGGAATTTTTGCCAAATGGTCGCACGGTCAATAAAGATTGAAGATAGGCGCCGCTTGCGAGAAGCGATACGGAAAAACGTTCTGCATTGTGAAAAAAACAGATCATGCATGGCTTTTGCATCACGATAATGCATCTGCTCACTCGTCATTGCTTGTTCGTAATTTTTTGGCCAAAAACAACACCGTAATCATGCCTCGGCCACCGTATTCACCAGATTTGCCCCCTATAACTTTTTCCTGTTTCCAAGATTTAAGGGCGGCGTTTTTCGACGATTGCGTCTCCACACACCTGAAGAAGCTACTGTATAGCGAAACACGTGTTACGTTTTTGTAACTGATCAGTAAAAATCTCACAATAAAGTGTTTCTTGAATATATTGAATACGTTAACTAACGTATTTTTTCAACTGAAAAAATTGAATTAGACATCACATACGACATCAATTCGTATCAAATGAAATACGTTAGTTGAAATTAAATTAATATCTTAGTATTTATAGTTACCGCAAAATTAAAACTATCGAGCGACAAAATAAATTCAAGCGGTCTCACAACGATACGAAATGCTTGTAGAAGAAAGGTTGCAACTGCGTTGATTTTGTTTTAGTAGTACACTTAATGTAGTCACTTAATGAATGGTTCTAGATAAATAGAAATATGTCTCGGCTATTATATTTTACTGTAGGTCGTATTTTTCGATCAGTTCCCGTGTTTTAGGTGGCATGAGTGGCAAAATGCGAGTCACCATTTCAGAAACAAGTGAAAAAAGTATGGAGAAAGAAAAGGAACAGGTAGCCGATGGAGATGATGAATCGGAACAGAAAATGATTGAGAAGACCGCAGAATTAGCCGCGGATGGAAGTGGAATTGTGCCTAAAGAACGAGTGTCTTATATGACCACAGCCACACAAAAATCCGTAACTATCTCCGAAACATCTTCGTTCTCCAAAAAGTAATTCATTTATTTTCAAAATTTTTCAATAACAATATTCACAAACAAGAGCTCACTCCACCTATAAGGAATTTTATAAAAACTGTCTGAATTTCTACGTTTTGCCATCTAATTTTTCATCATCAGGAGCCGGTTACGATTAAAAATGATTTTTTGTTGAATAAATATAGAGCTCGGGTTTAGGCATTGAACTGTGACAAATTAGTAATTATTGTGAATTACTTATGGAAATAGAGATTTCGATTATCAAACCAAGATCAACCGGTCTGTGGTCCTCCTGAACGTGGTGCGATTATTCTGTATGGGTCAATTGCAATTTTCATAAAAATAAAACCCTTTTCATTGTTTATACCAGAGCAGTTTGTGAAATGATAAATGAAAGGAGAGTTTTGGATAGTTTACATATGAATCCAAAGTATTTGTTCATTATAAATTCGACTTTGAAAGTAATTGAAAAGAAATTAAAAATACTACATTACATTCAAGTGAATAGGCCAAATTAATAATAATAATAATTTATTTACACATACAAGTTACACAGTCATACAGAATTAGTATGAAAAATAATGCTTTGCAAATAAATTGAGATAACTCACAAAAGGTAAACCTTGAGCGTGAGATGCTTAACTATAAGCTATACATTTATAGACACATACCCAAATAACACATAATCACAAGAGAAATAATACATTTCCAAGTCTGATTCAAACTTATGTACCAATTGGAACTTATGAAAAAACTATTAAGCTGTTTCAAAAGTGCTTTTCTAGTTTCAAATTTCAACAAATATGTATTCTACTAATTTCGCCAACCGACTACCATCTTCTCAAGCACTTCGATAACTTTCTCAATGGTAGAACCTTCGCCAATCAGGACCATGCAAAAACGGCCTTCGTCGACTTCATCCAATTGATCGACATATGTTGCGTTGGCAAAACTGCACTGATTGAAATTGCGCTAAGTTTGACTGTTCTGTTCTGGTCTTACCTTTCAACGTGTGATTTCTAACAGGGTTGCAGAATTATCCCAGCTTCAACCAGATAAATTATCTCAAGAAACAAATCAGGTAGAGGCGAGAATTGAACCCACGGCCTTCCGATCGTGAGTCGGGCGCACTACCACTGGCCTGAACGAGTTGTTCTTCAGATGATTTGATTTTATTTTGATTAAATGGAATGATTATTCACTGAGATATTACAATTTGAAGTAGACTCATAAAAGCGGACAAAACTTTTGATACAACCTAATAGTTGAGTGAAATTGTTCCAGATCTGGTCAAACACAAACATACTCATTGTTGAAACTGACTGAAAAGCAGTCTGTTGACTTTTTAGCATTGTAAACTTGTCACCACTAGTTGCTAAATCATCTGAAACACTATTATTATTTTAGACCAAAACAAAGAAAAAGCACCAAGTCGCAAATGAGAGAGAGAAGTTTAGTTTATGATTTGAAACCGAGATTTCGATTGGAAGAAGAAGATCTACGTCGCCCCAGTGGCGATTTTGGTTTAGCACCTGAGGTGGATGCTGTGGACTCCTCAACAAAATATTATGTATACATGGACGATGAAGCAGAAGAGGAAGAGGATGTAGGAGTCGAAGAAGAGGAGGAAATTGAACGCATAGATAGGGGGCCGTATTACGTGAAACATCTCACTCTCAATATTGAAATAAGAAACGAAAAAATTCGTAGTTGCATACTGCAAAAAAAATTATCGTTATTTTTTAAACGCAGGAATATGGCCCACGTTTTGAGAGAAACAGACCAACAGTACGATACACAAATCAAATATGGAAAGAAATTAGATACATATGGGGAATTGGTTGAAATTGATAGAACCCAAAGGAATGCCATTGCGCAAGAACTCAATGTACTGAAAGAGAAACGGGAACAGAAGTTCAAAGAGTTGACCAAGTTATTCAATGACATGCAAGAAAGAGAAAAAGAAATTGGGTATGTCTTTTTTATCATTCAATATAGTTGCCTTCGAGGGCGATACAACGATTATAGCAGTCAGAACATTTTTCGATACCATTTTTATAGTAAGAATTGTCTTTAGCCTCAAAATAGGCATCAGTTTCGACGATTACCTCTTCATCAGAGCTAGATTTCTTTCCAGCGACCATTCTCTTGAGCTCTGAGAACAGCATAACGTTGCTGGGGACCAGATCTGGAGAATACGGTGGCTGCGAAAGCAATTCGAAGCCCGATTCATGCAATTTTGCCATCGTTTTCATTGATTTGTGACACGGTGCATCGAATTGATGAAACACCATTTTTTTTCTTCTGCGTTTTTCGGCGAATTTGTCATTCAAATGCTCCAATAATGCTATGTAATAGTCGCTGCTGATGTTTTTTCCAAGATAGTTGATGAATATTATACCATGCGTATCCCAAAATACTGATACCATAACCTTGCCAGCTGACTGTTGTGTCTTTGCACGCTTTGGAGTCGGTTCACCTTGTGCAGTACACCCAGATAAAGATCGTTATGATTCTGGTGTGAAATGATGGAGCCATGTTTCATCCATTGTCACATAAATTCCGGTTTTTTACAGTGAATTTGCTTCAAACACTGCTCAGAATAAAAAATTCGTTGTTGTTTTTGGTCGTTTGTTAGATCGCGCGGCACCCTTTTTAATTAACACGCTTTTATTAGCTTCACCTGAATGTATGTATGTTTGTTTGATCTATTCGCGGGCAGATGGTGCTGTACGTAACCTCCTTGATATATCGACATTATTGCTTGATCTATTCGCGGGTGGATGGCGTTGTAAGTAACTCCTTGATATATCGACATTATTGCTTGATCTATTCGCGGGCAGATGGCGCTGTAAATAACCTCCTTGATATATCGACATTATTGCTTGATCTATTCGCGGGCAGATGGTGCTATACGTAACCTCCTTGCACAAACGCACAGACAAACATTTGAAAATAAATTTTTTTAGTTATATTTCGTTCATACGAACGAAACCCCCATAACAGTTTTTCTCAAATAATGTATAGGCAATAACGAAAATTTGAATAATTATTGATACAAAATAGGACTATTGAAAGTAATGTAATCAATTTCAAAATAAACACTGATGCCATAGTCTAAGTAACAAGTGCTTATTTAATTCCTTTCACTTTAATCAAACATTAGGACTGAGAAGTTATTCTATTTGGAATGGAATCTGTTTTGATCTTTACTCAACCCTTCCAATATCTATAAGTCAATATTAGGATCGGATTCAAGTTTTGTTTTCCACTATAGAAATGGTCTCATAAATAAAAAAACTGGAAACCCTATACCTGATAAAGTAATTGAAAGGCTTATTCGACGTCAAAAAGTTCAAATGGAAGAGGTCAGTTCAATGAGGCTGAAATACCTGCAATTAAAAGAGATGGTTGCAGAAAAGGAAAGTGCTATAGAGGCCTTGGACAAAATAGGTATGGTTCAGTTTGAAATTGATTTTGAATATAAACCATTCTGGATGTTACAGGAGAAGGTCTGCATCTTATGGACTATGAGCAGCTCAAAGTAGAGAATCGAAGCCACGCAGATAAAATTGAAGAAAAAGAAGAGGAACTCACCAGACTAAGATTCAAGTGTCAAAATACAATACAAATTCTGGCGCATATAAGAGAAAAGTCGTCTGCGTTGGATTCTGATATAGACGATATCAGAGAAGATTTGTCTACGACAGAAATACAAAGTCTGCAGGTCAATAACTAATTTTTTCAAAATTCAATTCACCCTAATAAGTTGATAAAAAAAAGGGAAAATTATCTATAGTTTTCTGTATCATCACAGAAACGTAATTACTTGTTAATCTAATGATTTGTATTCTTTACTAGTCTTTCAATGCTGTTTGAGAGTGATCTATTGCAGATATTGCTGAGTGAGATCTAATCAAATACATTCAAGATTACTTAAAGAGTGCAAATTTTCGCAGTCGGAGATAACCATGCCATTGGTGGTAGGCGTGGCCACGTTCCTATTGGCCAAATTAAATGACCTGATAGGAGAACAATGAAATGCAGGTAGCTAAATTTTAATAATGTTGAATCCTTCTTTCTACCGTTTCTTCCGTTCCCCATATAGTTTTGGAAAGTAACTCTAAGTATTCTACAAATGCGATAACGTGCGAACCTGCTTTGAGTACATGTTCCGCTACTGCTGATTTATTGGTATTCCCCAGAAGGACAGTTTCTTTCATGTTCAGATATCCGGATGCTTATACTTCTCTTTCTGTTTTCAATGCAGACCAATCCACAGCTTTAAGGAATCATGATGGTTTTCAGTGGCCTGAATATCACTAAGGACTCCAGCGGGTCTTTAGCATGACGTGGGTTTTACCAGATCACTGGTAGCTATGGACTGGTCTACATTGGAACCATCAATGTAAGTACACCCGACTCTCTGAAAACAAAAGAAGTTATGGCCTGAGGCATACCAATAAATGAGCAGTAGAGGAATATTCATTTAGATAAGGTACGCACGTTATGGCAACTGAAGAGACCCAAGTCTTCGATAGAGTTACTATGCAGGACTATATAGGGAGGCAAAAGACATTCAGAAGCACACACAATTTTGTAATTCCAACTGAAAGAAAGAGAATCGAAAATAATAAAAACTAACTACCCGGAAACTGTTTGAGTGATTTACAAAAAACATAATATGGTTGGAACTACGGAAAATACAAATTACATAAC